TGAGAGGGGCACAGAAGCTGCTGGCATTTTGGCACCCAGGCTTTTCAGAGGGACCCAGGAAGCTGCCTTGCACAGTATAAGACCATTGGCCCATCCAGGTCAGCCCTGTCTACAATGACTAGAAGTAGTTCAAACCAGGTTCCAGACAGTGGTCTTCTCCAGCCTTACCTTGTGATGATGGTGACAGAACCTCAGGCATTCTGCATGCATTGCCTGTATTCTACTACTGAGCAATAGTCAATTTGCAGCTCTGCACACAAGTGAATTGAAGTGCTAGCTATTATATTTTAATCTGTGCATTTTATTGTAGTTTGATTCTGTTTTGTAGTGTCCCTTGGAATCATGACCTGATGCAGGCCGGGACAGTGACAGAAGAAATATTAAAGTGAAGAAAGGCACAGTTCAACTCCAAGACCTCTGAGAATTACAGGCAAGTTGACAGAAGTGTTGTTTTGTTTGTTTGTTTGTTTGTTTGTTTGTTTGTTTGTTTACTATTAGAAGGGTGAGAGGCAGTATTTGGGGGCAGGCTGGTAGTCACGGAAGGTTATCATTAGTAATAAAAAAGGAAATTAAAAACCCTATCACTCTTTCTGAACAAACAGGAGCACCTGAAGGTCTGATCCAAATGTTTCTGCTGTATTTGACAAACGTCCAGCTATGTCATGTTCCTTTCACCAGATTTGTTCACTCTGATTGAATACAGGCCTAAATTCATATCAACATCCTACCTCTGTCTTTTTAAAGGGATACTTGCAGTTACTTTGAAGACACACGTAACTCTAATAGGGAGTCTAAAGGTAAAGGTAAAGGGACCCCTGAATGTTAGGTCCAGTCGTGACCGACTCTGGGGTTGCAGCGCTCATCTCGTTTTATTGGCCGAGGGAGCCGGCGTACAGCTTCCGGGTCATGTGGCCAGAATGACTAAGCCGCTTCTGGCGAACCAGAGCAGCGCACGGAAACGCCATTTACCTTCCCGCCAGAGCGGTACCTATTTATCTACTTGCACTTTGATGTGCTTTCGAACTGCTAGGTTGGCAGGAGCAGGGACCGAGCAATGGGAGCTCACCCCGTCGCGGGGATTCGAACCGCCGGCCTTCTGATCGGCAAGTCCTAGGCTCTGTGGTTTAACCCACAGCGCCACCCGCGTCCCAATAGGGAGTCTATTTATTTTAAATATTTTTGTACTGCTTACTCTCAAGGAAACTCTCAAAGTGGTTTGCAAGATTAAAAACAGACATTAAACCACTTCAAAAATATTTTTAAAAAACAGGACCGTAGAATCCACTGTTAATAATCAGAAAACATCAGAGCAAAAGGTGAGTGTTTCAGATAAAGGTTGGAAACACACTACGGTTGATGTTTCCTAAATAATATGGGAGGGGAGCATTCCAGAGAACAGGCACCACTACAGAGAAGGCCCATTTCCACATTACCACTAGATCACAGAATCATAGGCCCATAGAGTTGGAAGTGACCACGAGGGTCAGCTAGTCCAACCCTCTGCAATGCAGGAACCTTTAGCCTAACATGGAACTCGAACGCACGACCCTGAGATTAACAGTCTCATGCTCTACTGAGATATCCAACATTCAACACTGTAGGTCCACTGGTGAATTTGGGGGTCTGGATGACTCTGTGGACCCAGTTCTCCCACCCAGAAACCTTAATCTCTTCAAAACAATATCTGACTAACCCGAGCTACTCCAAAGGTGAGGCAGATGAGGTAATTGGTTTTCCGTATGTGTGGAAAAAATGACTAGAAGCAGTATCTTTATTATTCTTTCAATTAAATTTTTATCATGTATTCACAGGCAATTTCTTCAAGAGGGATAAAACATTATTTTCTCATTTAAATTTCAATGGTCTGTTCGTCCTGCACAGATGCAAAATCGGGCATTTCTGCTGAAATGCTCTGAAGGCATAATGATTAGACCTAGCACCAAAATATTCAGATATGAACATCCATACATTTATGTAGAAAACTAAGAGATGATTAAAGGTTTCTCGTTTATCTGATTAACTGAATTTCAATTAGTTGATCAAAATATAAAGATTTCAGTATAGAAAACTACAGGATGACAATAGGTTCATCCATCACAATTGGCTTCAAAATTCAAATTTATTTTTTGAGACTTTTATAAAAACAAAACAAAACAAAACAAAAACCTGGCAAGTGCTGGCAGCATCGGGACCAGTGTGCTAAAGTTCCTGCAGGTTCAGGGTTAGGGTTAGGCCTACAATAAATGGACAAAGGTGACATGCAAACTCCTTTTGGTCATTTGGTACTCCTCAAAAGTGTGTTGAAGGACATGAAAGAAAGATAGCAGATGGTAAATGAGAGCAAATGAATGATTATGGGAGGTGCAGACAGCCTGGAAAGATTGATGCGCGGTTACCCAAGGCAGGAAGGCTAAGACGAAATATGGAAGACAACTGCCAAAGCAGATGTCTTGCCTACAAGTCCCCATAAAGAAACTATGAAAAGGATCACCAGGGCAGCGCTCTCTCGGGCTGGAGAATAATAAGGTGACCCAAAGGGGTCTGTTGTAGTATACATGCAGCTTTCCAAGCAAGACAGCTACTCTAAAAGCAGACAATCCCAGTTCAAGACCTTTCCCCTCTGGTTTCCATAACATATTAGGTCCAGTTTCATGTTTCCATCCATTCTTTTGAAACATTGCCTTTAAAAAATAACTCATTATATAATAACTCATTATATAATAACTCATTTTTTAAAAAAGATAATAACTCATTTCAAGCAGTATATGGACCGAGAACTCCCAGAAGTGCAAGCTGGATTTAGAAGAAGCAGAGGAACCAGAGACCAAATTGCAAACATGCGCTGGATTATGGAGAAAGCTAGAGAGTTCCAGAAAGACATCTACTTCTGCTTCATTGACTATGCAAAAGCATTTGACTGTGTCAACCACAGCAAACTATGGCAAGTTCTTAAAGAAATGGGAGTGCCTGATCACCTCATCTGTCTCCTGAGAAATCTCTATGTGGGACAAGAAGCTACAGTTAGAACTGGATATGGAACAACTGATTGGTTCAAAATTGGGAAAGGAATACGGCAAGGCTGTATATTGTCTCCCTGCTTATTTAACTTATATGCAGAATTCATCATGCGAAAGGCTGGGCTGGATGAATCCCAAGCCGGAATTAAGATTGCCGGAAGAAATATCAACAACCTCAGATATGCAGATGACACAACCTTGATGGCAGAAAGTGAGGAGGAATTAAAGAACCTTTTAAAGAGGGTGAAAGAGGAGAGCGCAAAATATGGTCTGAAGCTCAACATCAAAAAAACGAAGATCATGGCCACTGGGCCCATCACCTCCCGGCAAATAGAAGGGGAAGAAATGGAGGCAGTGAGAGATTTTACTTTCTTGGGCTCCATGATCACTGCAGATGGTGACAGCAGTCACGAAATTAAAAGACTCCTGCTCCTTGGGAGAAAGGCGATGGCAAACCTAGACAGCATCTTAAAAAGCAGAGACATCACCTTGCCAACAAAGGTCCATATAGTTAAAGCCATGGTTTTCCCTGTAGTGATGTATGGAAGTGAGAGCTGGACCATAAAGAAGGCGGATCGCCAAAGAATTGATGCTTTTGAATTATGGTGCTGGAGGAGACTCTTGAGAGTCCCATGGACTGCAAGAAGATCAAACGCATCCATTCTTAAGGAAATCAGCCCTGAGTGCTCACTGGAAGGACAGATCGTGAAGCTGAGGCTCCAATACTTTGGCCACCTCATGAGAAGAGAAGACTCCCTGGAAAAGACCCTGATGTTGGGAAAGATGGAGGGCACAAGGAGAAGGGGACGACAGAGGACGAGATGGTTGGATAGTGTTCTCGAAGCTACAAACATGAGTCTGACCAAACTGCGGGAGGCAGTGGAAGACAGGAGTGCCTGGCATGCTCTGGTCCATGGGGTCACGAAGAGTCGGACACGACTAAACGACTAAACAACAACAACAACAACTCATTTTGGCAAACGTCTAGATCCAGGATGGAAGAGCAGGCACCAAGAACCCCTGTGGCATATGTTTCAAGTCTTTAGCAAGGAGGAAAAACTCCTTTAAGAGTCTAGAATCATCGCATAGGAACTCCACAACTTTGCAAGACGGTCCATTCATAAAAACGGCAACAATCCACTGCCCTAGTCTTCCCAGTTCCAAACATCTTACAATCATCCACCCGGGGGGCGGGGGGAGCTTGGAAAAACAATGCAAACCACATGCACATCTCTCCTAAGCAACCTAATCCAATTCCTGCTTTCATATATTCTTGTATTCACATACCCCACAAATTCCTTTATTGGCTATAACAAAAGATGGCATCAACTTTATTCTGATGACTTATGAAAGAGACCCTCTCTTCTTTACCTTAATTTATGTTTGTGCCAGAGACCTGTACTGAGAACTCATAACCAAAGTACAGTGGTACCTCGGTTTACAAACAGCCCGGTTCACGAACAACTCCGAACCCGAACGCTGCAAACCCGGAAGTAGGTGTTCCGGTTTGTGAACTTTGCCCCGGAAGCTGAACGTGCTCCTGAGCTTCTGTTTTTCCTGTTCCGCAGCTAATCTGAGTCCCCCGCATAGTAATTAAGCCTTTCCCCTCCCGCTTCTGCCCTTGCGTGGCTCGTTTGCATCCCCCCATTTTAATTTAAGCCTTTTCCCTCCTGCTTCTGCCCTTGCCCCGCTCATTTGAGCCCCCCCCCCCATTGTAATTAAAGCCTTCCGTTTCTAACTGCAGTGTTCTGAAGTGATATTTGGTCTTTTGTTTTTGCTAATCTTTTGCATTTTGGTTGTGTGGTTTTTTCATATTTGTGACTGTGGCTTGTTTTTCGTTTTATGACTATCATCATTAATTTTAATTTTTAACATCTACAATAATGTCTTATTTATTTTATAGTACAGAACATTGATTATTGTGTTCATTTTATGGATCAATGGTCTTGTTAGATAGTAAAATTCATGTTAAATTGCTGTTTTCAGGGTTGTTTTTCATTGTCTGGAACGGATTGATCCATTTTCCATTGCTTTCTATGGGAAAGCACGCCTTGGTTCAAGAACGCTTTGGTTTAAGAACAGACTTCTGGAATGGATTAAGTTCGTAAACCGAGGTACCACTGTAGAGGATTCGCCCCATTTCTCTCACCGGGGGGGAGGCCCACTGTTCTCCATCCAAACTAGATCTAAGGGAACAAGGTCACGCTTCATACAACTTTCCTGTCTGTAACACCATTGTCCATATCAGAACTCTCTGGAGCCAAGTTGATCACAACTAGTCCATGACACAGCAGAGAGTGCACAATTTGAGTGTGTATCAGTGAGCCCACTCCCAGACAGATGTCCAAAGTTTAAAGGCTCCCAGGGGAGGTACAAATGACTTCCTGGGAATATTTTCTGGTCTGACTTGAGATAGGTAGGGTTGTTGTTTTTTTCCAGGACCCATTCGCTGCACTGCAGGCTACTGTGTGTTCTCTATTACAATCTGCAGTGTCCTGGGAGAAAGCCTCTTTTTATCCGCTAGTAATTCTGGCTGTTCTAGAGATCCTCCCTAGAAACCTGAGAGCACACTGGAGAATCCAGAAGATAAAGAGAGTTGAAATTAATCGGAAAGTCTTCATGAGATAAGATTGAAGTCAAGAGAAACGAGAATCCCACAATTACTATTTACTCGGGGGGTAGGATCGGGGGAAATGAAGCAACTTGACGCAAAGGTTAACAAGAAGCAGGGACAACACAGCAAAAGTGAAATTCATCACGAAAACTTTCCCCCACCCTCTCTCGCCCTCTACCTCAGCCTTTCCGGTGAGTTTAATGTTAAGGTTCTAAATATACAACCCGTTAGCTTTCCCTGTAAATAATCACATTGAAATGATAAAAGGTCAGAAAGTGAGTAAAATCAGGAGCTTACTGATGCTTAAATGAGCTTTGAAAAATTGAACTGGCTCCCAGCTTGCCCTTCATAAAGCCCCTTCATTTTGGTAAGAACGTTTAATATCTTTGTGCTATTTATCCTGTGTGAGTAGAGTTACTATGTCATATTACTGAGAAGGCAAATCATACAAGGAGTCAGGGCATATGAGAAACTTGAACTTTGGGTCAATAAGCTGAGATACACTCCAACAGCAGAACAAGACTAGGACTTTCTTTTGTCCCTCATGATATTAGCCCAGATACAGTTCTTTCTGGCTCAAAGCAGGCTGCCATTTTCCTTCCATGCTTACTATATGTTTAATTTTACTCACTGTCTTTGAACAGCAAAAGCTAGAAGACCAGGCAGTGTGCTCCTATCACATTCCATGCACTAGAAATTGGGGAGGGTGGTTTGGGGGTCTCAAACAGAGAAACAACAAACAGAGAAAAACCACTTGGCTTCACTGTTAACACTTAATCTTTGCAACCAGGGAAGAGCGGTGGAACAATAAATTGGTTCATTAGAATAAGGACACTGAAAGCTATTTCAATCCATAGGAAATGGGATAATCAGCTTGGAATATTACAGAAACCCTTAATAGCCTCTGACCAAAACAAAAGCTAAGTGTCAAGCTACACAAAGCTCATCTCCCAATAAGCCCACTAACTAGCAAAAAGCTAAAACACTGGAGGGAAATCCATAGAACGGAAACTGTATTCACTAATCCACCAGAATCGCTGGATTATCTACTTAGCACACCAAAATAAAAGAGGGAGGGGAAGGGAGGGCCCCCCCTTTAATTTCTCTGCTTAATTACAAGTCAAGTTTTGCAGGACATTCAAAACATTATAAATGAAACAAAACCCCTTAAACAGCTTACTTAACGCTGAGCTGTGAATCACTTCCCTCCCTCCGCCAAAAAATTAATTTAAACGCATCTCCAAGTATTTATTCTGCTTTTCTTCAGTCTGTCTTCATTTGTTCAGCCTTCAGCATTAACTCACCAAAACATTTTGACTCAAAAGAAATCTATCCTCTCATTAGCGCTGAGAAGAAGTTGAACAACTCCATTTAAGCTTGATAGAAGTTATGAAACCTTAAAGGAAGTTTTGCAGCAAATGAAACAAACAGATTTGGTTTAAGAAAGGGAAAGGAAGATTTGGAGGTTCATTTAGAACCAATGGAAGGCAGCATATCTGAAAACTCTCCCAGTACACGAATCCAGAAAACGGGTACAAATTTTCCTTTCTCTGCAAGCCCCTTCGCCGCCACCCCATGCTGTTCAAAAGGTCCCCCCCCCCAATTTGTAGCAGATTTGGGAGGTCCAAGGAGCAGCTGGAAGGAAGGGAAATCACTGAAAAATCACCTCTCACCATTCTACTGACTGAAGCTTCTATATGACCTCCATCAATGGAGGGATAGAACCCTATACATTTTGCGTGGTGAGTAACATAGTTCATAAAGTTTATTTAGGAACAAAAATGCAAAATCGTCATCCTGGAAGCCTTCACAACAGAAGGCGCTGATTTAAAAGAAGGTTTAGAAAAAATACAATATATCTATGCTAAATAATGCACGAATGAGGAGTATATTCAAGTAGTTGACAGTTGCAGGGAGAAGATTAGGCGGGTCAAAGCTCAGAATGAGCTCAGGCTTGCAAGAGAGGTTAAATATAATAAAAAGGGTTTCTTCAGCTATGTGAGGAGTAAGAGGAAGAACAAGCAAGTGGTAGGTGCACTGCATGGAGAAGATGGAGAGATACTATTGGGTGGCAGAAAGAAGGCAAAACATCTCAACACCACCTACTTTGTCTCTATCTTCGCCTAAAAGGAAAGCAGTGCCCAACCTGGTGATAACAGAATAAACAATGCAAGCAGAGAGCTACAGCCCAAGATAGGAAAAGAGGTGGTAAGGGAACACCTAGCTACTTTAAATGAATTTAAATCTCCGGTGTCTAAGGGCACGCAAGGAGCTTGCAGATGTAATCTCAGAGCCTCTGTCTATAATCCCTGAGAATTCTCAGAGAACAGGTGAGGCTCCTGCAGATGGAAGATGGGCCAATGTTGTCCCCATCTTCAAAAGGGGGGAAAGGAAAACCTGAGTAACTACCAGCCGGTGAGCTTGACATCAATACCAGGAAAGGTCCTGGAACAGATAACTAAACGGTTAGTTTGAGAGCACGTAGAAAAGGATGCTGTGATTACTAAGACCCAGGATGGATTTCTCAAACACAAGTCATACCAGAAACATCTATCTTTCTTTTTTAATAAAAGCTTGGCGGATCAGAGGGATGCTGTGAAGATAGTGTACCTTGATTTCAGTAAGGCTTTGACAAAGTCCTACATGAAATTCTTGCAGAGAAGCTGGTAAAACGTGGGCTGGACAAGGTAACTGTTCGGTGGATTTGCACCTGGTTGACTGACCGAGCCCAGAGAGTGCTCACTAATGCGTTGTCATCATCCTGGAAAAAGTGGGGTGCTGCAGGGTTCTGTCCTGGGCCCGTTGTTGTTCAACGTCTTTATAGATAAAGGAATTGAGAGGATACTCATCAAATTTCCAGGTGGCACATTCCCTCGGGAGGTGGTGGACTCTTCTTCATTGGAAGTGTCTAAGCAGAGGTTAGGTGGCCATCTGTCATGGATGCTTTAGTTGAGATTTCTGCATTGCAAAGGGGTTGGAGTAGGTATTCCTTGGGGTCCCTTCCAACTCTACAATTCTACGATTCTATGATTCTGTGACTCAGTTCCAATGTGCCAGCTATCAACAGAAATTATATTGCATATGTAATTAACTCAAGTCAATTTATGACTATTTTGCTTAATGAAAACTTCAAAGCTCTGGGAAAGGCATGCTTTCCTGACCTAAAAAATAAGCACTTTGAAGTTCCTGATGAAAATAGATTCACACTGCAATATACAACTGTATAATCAATTGTATAAAATACTGTAATACATTCACTGCATTTGCAAATGAAATAAGATTGCATGTGATATGCATTAGCAACCCCAAAGTTAAATGAAATTATTTTCTCTCTATGCATTGAAAATGTTCTTTTTTATTTTAAGTACCTTAAGGGAAAGTTTAATGTTTTTGCTCTGATCTTATAAAATGCCTAACTTCATCATTTTACTACATTAAAATTATATTTATGCAAAACACTGAAGTGTTTTGCGTATTTAATACAGCTAAGAAAAAAGTAGATTTTATAGTGCACAAAAAAAGACTATTTTACTATCTTTGGTGTGTGTTTTCCAGTAGTTTTGCTGCACACAAAGCTGCTCTACCTTCTCTGAGAGCTTAGTAAAGCCAACTTATGATCAATGATCTTGTCAAGAAGAACTGCTTTTAAAAAATCTGGTAGCTGACATAAATGTCATTTCTACTGCACAAGGAATCTTGACCCCAGCCACAACTGAAGTATCTTTAGGAATATTGAACACAATACAAAATATAACTTGGGAGTTAACGTTACCTATTTTTTCCTCTTCTCTAGTGGTAACAAATTAAACAGAAGACAGCCACTTAAAAAATATTCTTACTACTTATGACTAAAATTGGTCTCTAACGATCTCTGTGCCATTTAATTATGTTTTGAACAGTTGTGATTTCCAAGAGCACGCAGTCTAAGTTCTCTGATAAATAATTACGTATCCATCAAGAATTTGTCCTTATCTTCTTTATAAGCCATCCAAGTTGATGGCTTTCACTTCCTCATGCTCCAGTGAGTTCCACAGTTTAACTATGAGCTGTGTGAAGAAGACAGAATCTTTTGTCTGCCTGGAATCTTCCAACATTCAGAATTATGGGCTGTCCCCGACGAGAAAAGGGAGGGGAGAGAAAAAGCCGGCGAAGAACAGAGAGGGAAAGGAGGGTCAACGGGGGAAGCAGCGGGAACTTGTCTAAAATAGGCTCCTTCATGTGCAATAGCCAGACTGCAGATTGCATAAATAAGGGCTTATTTCAGAACGGAGGCAAGCAAACCAGGGGATAAGCATGGCTGGAGAGATAGGGTCTTGAGGGAGAACATACAAGATAGGAATAGCCAGCTTTTATGTGGCTTGAATCAGAGAAGACCCAAAGGTCAACTCATTCCACCCCTTTGGCAGACCACGTCAATGACTTTCTGTTAGGAACCAAACTGAATATTGAATAGATTTTGTCATCAAAACAAACAAAAAATTCTCTTTTAAAATACAAAGGCTATGAAGATCCTTTAGGAAAAGATAAGCATCTGGAAGGAAATGAGCACAATACTTTTGACACCAGAGATGAATATCTTCAGGACTAACTCTGTGTGTGTGTGTGTGTGTGTGTGTGTGTGTGAGAGAGAGAGAGAGAGAGAGAGAGAGTTAGTTTTTTACAAGCAAAAGTTTTAAAAACTGTTTTTAATGTATTTTAAATTGTTGTAACTTGCCCTGGGACCTTAAGGTGAAGGCCAGGTAATAAATAAAATCGTAATTGTAATCGTAATCGTAATCATAATCATAATCATCTCAGCTGTATCCTATCGCCTTCAGGTGGTTCAATGGGTCAGTGCGTCTGGCTGTTAACCAGAAGGATTCCTGCACTGTTGGGACTAGATATCCCCCTGAGTCCCTTCCAACTTACAGTTCTATGATTCTTTGAAGCAAAAAACACAGAGCAATCGAAGTATGGGAAACCTGTAGCCCTCCAAATGCTGTTGTACTCCAGCTCCCATCAGCACCATCTAGCATGGCCAATGGTCAGGGATGATGAATGCTGAAGTCCAGTATGTCCATGCATGTATGAAGCGGGAGTCGGCAACATTTAAACTAGACCTCTGCTTTCAGCAGTGCAACAATGTGTGTGTGTGTGTGTGTGTGTGTGTGTGTGGCCTTGGCATATCATTTGCCCTTAATTCCAACACCTATGTTTCTTGTCAGCCTATGGGATTTATCGCTGAACGGATTTGTATCAAATCCTTCTCCCACAGAGCATGGGGATGTATGCATGAGTCTTCTTGTATTTGTCACGGGCAGTTTAGATGCAGAGGAATGGTAGGAGAAACCAGCTGCAGAACCACCAAGGGAAGAGGCTCAGAGCCCAGGGAGTGGTTGGGGGACAGTGATGAGTGGTCAAAGGGAGAAGACGGGAAAGACCAGGGAGCTGTTGGAAGCTGAGGAGGTAACATGGATTGGTGAGCTAAGAGAGTCTGGGGCAGAGAGAAGTATCAGGGAGAAGCTTAGGCAGGAGAGGAGGGAGGCCAAGAGGCAGAGAGGAGTCCTGGTTAAGAGGTGTCTACCCCTCCTGAAAAGGGCAGAAGCAGCAAGAAAATGGCGGAGGAGAGATTGGTGATGCCAGACGCAGTCTCCATCACGGAAAAAACCCGGGAGAGGAGGGGAACTTAGGCAGAGACCTTCAGTCTCAGCAACTGCTTCACGAAGCCAAGACCTACTGGAGATGAGTCGCTGTGCTCATTAGGCCTGACACTCCTGTGCAGATTGTGTCTCTGCTGATAAAGAGTTAACTCCAATTTGCTCAGTGTAATTTAATGCTGGCATGCTCCTGACACATTTTATTCTCACACAAAAAAGTCTATGAGGTCGGTTTGGGCTGAGAAATAGTGACTAACTTAGCTTTCTGGCAGAATATTGATCTAAACCCAGTTCTCTACAGTCCAAGTACAATGGTGGGCTCACTACGACCACAGTGGTTCATTACAGAAGGTGTTCCACAACAAAAAGAAAGTGCTGTGTTCAGTCTGCAATAAGAGAATGACTATCACACTAGATGGTTAATGAGTCACATATTTCTACTGTTCTTGTACATTTCTATAACACCCAGCCACTGCCACAAGTGTACACAATTTCCCTTAGTCTTTAGGTCATTGTCTTTTTTAATAGCATACTAAGAACTGCCAGAGGGTGGAATGGAAGTGGGGGAGGACAGAGAGGAACAGAACAAGAATGACAGATCATTTCAGCCGAAGAAGAAAATCTAAAGAAAAAGGGGAACAAATGTTTTTTGCAGCCCATTAGGTTTGCACAGCGTATCAGCAAAATGCTCTAATGGTAGGAATGGCTGAGCGATGCAGCAAGTTGTAGAGGTGATGAAAAATTACCTTTGTTTGAAGAGGAACGGATCCCAGTTGAGAAAATTATCAGAGAGGCTTCAGTAGCACCGAGGGTATAATCCTACACCCAACTGTCTACGTAAGTCAAGTCCCATTGAAATTCTCAATAGCGCTTACTTCTGAGTAGATATGTACAGGACTGAACTTTAAAAATCATACCAATATATAGGTGACTAAAGTTTGTCTCGCAACTCAGAATTCTTAATTCAGAAATAAGAAGCGTGCATACTGGAGAATAAAAAACCCATGCCAGCTACTTTTGCCAGCTACGATTTGTATGATCTCAATTTGTACTTTAAAATCCCAATACGTTGGCATGCTGCAGTATGATAAGCCATCCTTATTGTCAGATAAACGTGTTTAGGATTTCACTTTTGGAGTGTTAAGATCTGTAACAAATGCTGCAGTTACAGTGGTACCTCGGATTACATACGCTTCAGGTTACATATGCTTCAGGTTACAGACTCCACTAACCCAGAAATAGTACCTCGGGTTAAGAACTTTGCTTCAGGATGAGAACAGAAATTGTGCTCCGGCGGCGTGGCAGCAGCAGGAGGCCGGCCCCATTAGCTAAAGTGGTGTTTCAGGTTAAGAACAGTTTCAGGTTAAGAACTTAACCCGAGGTACCACTGTACTTCTATTTTCCTCCACACACTTCAAATCACCTTCAATTATATCCATATGATTGACACAAGATGATTGGAGAGGCACAGAACTGAGAACGAGCGAATTCTGAAAGAACTGATAACGCAAGGCACAATGGCAAGCAACATCATCACCTACTCGCAATGATCAAAAAGGCCGGCCCTAAAGATCAAACATTCCAAGCAAATGAAAGTCTACAAAGGAAAAGGATGTTTGATTTCTTGCTTCCTGTAAATGCAAACATTGACTAGGCCTCTGGAACTTTTTCAGACATGCCCTAACGTTTACTGTGTGGTAAGAGCAAGATCAGGTAAGCGGAAGGGATGGTGAAGAGCAATTTTCCACCAAAACTCAGGAGGTCTTGAAGGAGACCCAGCTGCTGACAATATCAAATCAGGCTGCAGTATTAGAGGTCACTGCCAAAGCGACTCATAAAAGTAGCCAGGCACTCATAAGAAGCAGGGCGGCAACAAGCAGCATTTATAGGGACGTTCAGTGGATGATGGGAGAGCCCAGGTGTGCAAATCTTAATAATAATAATAATAATAATAATAATAGGTGATAAAGTTAGGAAATGAGTCAGCATTTCACATTAAGTCCCCAAAAGGCACAAATGAAAGGTATAAACGTCTGAATTACACATGCATAAAGATAGAGCAAAAGAAGCTGTTTCTATCTCAATAAACACCTGTGAGTTTATCCGAATGAGCATGCCTGACAACTTGGCTCCTTCTGCTTCAGGTGCCACACAGCAAGTGCAAATCTGGGACACGGCCTTTTCCGTTGTGGCCCAACATCACTTAGGAGACCCACCTGCCCCACAAGCTTTGCGATGGACCGAGAAGACATTTTTGTTTCATAGAAAGCTTGCAAATTACTCCCATTGTATTGATCCCACGCTACAACAGTTCTTTTCAGCCATTTTCAGCATGGTTTGTTAGATTGTTTTAGTGTTTATTAGGCATCATTAAATTGTTACTCTATAGTAAACCCCACCTTGAATAGGATATAGGCAACTGAAATATAGGTATTGGGGTGGGGGGGGGAACAACGAAAAGACATTTTACTGTCCCTAGTTGAGAACCACCATTGCCGGCAAATTGGCTTAACTCCCACCTCTGACAACCTACTCCTGGGCTCGTGTATCTGCGGCAGGGTTAGGCCAGCTGCAACCTCACAGAACAACCAATTCCCAGGACTAAAAGTGACTGAACCATTTTTAGAAGGAATGCAAAAGTTCAGTCCTCACACAAAAGCAAGAGATCATCACATGGGTGATGTTTTACCATGGGATTTCACAAGATGAATAACGGCGCAATCCTAATCATGTTTGCCCAGAAGGAAGACCTACTAAATCCAATAGGGCTTCCTCCCAGATAAATAGGGCAAGAAGTGGTGCCTCAACTACTCTCCCTTATAAATAGCTAACTCAGGTGGTGGGTGTTAAGTTGTGGGTGAACATATCAGACGACACAGGCCAGAACAGACCTGAACTGAAGGGTTCAGCCAGCCTGCTTATATAGAGCTCCACTACAACGCAACAGTAACCATTTTCTGTAACTATCCAATCACTGAGCATCACTTTCAATCCCTTATTTGCATATGTGGACCTGAGTTAAAACTATCTACAGTATCCCCCTGCTGGCCCTAGGTGAAAACTTCAGTACATAACACCGGGTACCAACAAAATGGGTCCCTGAGAAGCAAGAGGTAAGCATGAGCAGGTAGGGACCAATTCAGTAAACCCACAACTTGCATGGGGTTTATGTTCCAGGGTTCGCACCGAAAGCCCATAGTCAAAACATATTGGGTGCAATGGTGGGCAGCATTGCCAAAGTCTTTTTTTTCCAGATGCCTGCCCCCTGAAAAAAATTTTTTGCCAAGCCCATGAAACTGAATGTGCGTCAG